CTGGGCACGCAGTCACCCTCTAGGTCTAATACTAGGGACTCCCCCCCCAGCTTTGTGGCTTCTCAACAGATCCCTGCCTTCCCCCTGCTGAAGACACCCGGACTCCCCAGGCACACAGGCAGACGTGGACCTTGGCAGTTCAGACACACCCGACAGGGCATACGTAGCCACCAGACACGGGCAGGATCGGACATCCGATACGGGCAGGACTCGGACACCCAGACACGGGCAGGACACGAACACCCAGACTCGCGCAGGACGCGGACAACTAGATGTGTCTGGCTGGGCGCACACAGCGTGCAGTATCGGCATGTCGGGCCCACAGCACAGACAAGCTCCCAGGTCAGAGGCCGTGACGCGGTGGTAGGTGGGGCTACACTGTGAGCCAGACCCCCACCCATCCACTGCCCGTGGCCGGGGAACTCCAAGGCTCACATGACCCAAGGGGAGGGCTTCTGGAACAGCCCTGGAGAAACTGCCTCATCCTCACGAAGGATCCATTTCCGCCCCAGAGAATAAAGGCTCGGTGACCTGGCCAGTCCTGCCCTGTAACACAACTGCCCCTTGGACTGTGCCAAGTGGCTGGCCAGTGCCTCCGCCAGGGTGAGTGCTGGGTCCCGGATGAGGGAGGGCAGACTGGGCCTGCGTGGCCACCCCTCCCGGCCCCTGGCTGGACGCCACCTACCCGCTCACCCTCCCAGCCAACTTTGCCCTGAAGTCCGGGAACTAGGGCACCCGGGGGGTTCCCGCTGGGCCACAGCAGGGCAAGGGGGTGTCTCAAGAGCCTACTGCCCACGCCTCAGCCCAGGTCTCCAGAAGCAGAATTCCACTAGAATTGCCCCCCAATTCAAACCTGTCTCTCGCCTCCCAGATGGACACAAGGACGGTGCTGCTCGTCCTGCAAGCCTTGCTGGTGCTGCCCCTGGCTGATGGCACTGACCCCGTCCTGCGCTTTGTGGCTGTGGGTGACTGGGGCGGGGTCCCCAATGCCCCGTTCTACACAGCCCGGGAAACGGCCAACGCCAAGGAGATTGCCAGGACGGCGAAGATCCTAGGCACAGACTTCATCCTGTCGCTGGGGGACAATTTCTACTTCACCGGCGTGCATGATGCCTACGACAAGCGGTTCCAGGTGTGTGGCCCTGGAGTGGGGGCGGGGGGCATCTGGGGAAGCCGTGGTCAACTTTTCGGCTCTGAAGGAGGCAGAGGGAAGCCGACACTTGTGGGGACCTGGAGCCCTCAGGGTCTCTCTTGTCCTCGGCTCCTGAGTTGCTGGGGGCGTTGGGGTGGCTGCTTGACCCCGGGGTGGGGGTGCCCTTTCTGCCTGCTGCAGGAGACCTTTGAGGATGTGTTCTCTGACCCCGCCCTCCGCAATGTGCCCTGGTACGTGCTGGCTGGCAACCACGACCATCTGGGCAACGTCTCGGCACAAATCGCCTACTCCGGGATCTCCAAACGCTGGTGAGCCTGCCCCCCACCCGTCCCCCAAGCCTCGCTCAGGGGCACAGAGGGGCCCACTGGCCTGAGCAGACCCTGGGCCTCTCCACCCGACGTGTGTGCACACCACCCCTGTGCCCTCCACAGGAACTTCCCCAGCCCTTACTACCGCCTGCGCTTCAAGATCCCACAGTCCAATGTGACCGTGGCCATCTTCATGCTGGACACCGTGACGCTGTGCGGCAACTCGGACGACTTCCTCAGCCAGCAGCCGCAGAGGCCCCGCGACCCGCAGATGGCCCGCACACAGCTGTCCTGGCTCAAGAAGCAGCTGGCGGCGGCCAAGGAGGACTATGTGCTGGTGGCCGGCCACTACCCGGTCTGGTCCATTGCCGAGCACGGGCCCACCCACTGCCTGGTCCGTCGGCTGCAGCCACTGCTGGCCACGTACAAGGTCACCGCCTACCTGAGTGGCCACGACCACAACCTACAGGTGAGGGACCTGCAGGTGGGGTCGGGTGGGGAGCCAGGTCAGGGGCCACCCCCCCCAGTGGATGTGCCACATGGCACGTTGGGATCCTCCTGCTGTTTGGGGTTCTCCCAAATGTCACTCTCCCTCAGACTCTATGGTCTTTAACCAGGGAAACAGCCCAAAGTTCCCCAAAAGCTATCATAATGGCTACCAGTTGCCCGTAGCTTACTCAGTGCAGACTTGTGAAGTAGGATCAGTACACTCCTACAGGTGGGGAAACTGAGGCCCACAGCGGGGTGATGTTGCTTTGCCCAAAGTGACTGAAGACCCTGGGCTCAAGAGCAGTGGGCACAGAGCCCGTGGTCGGCCTCACTGAGGGGCTGGGGGCTCCCCTGACCCCGAGTCCTCCATCCACAGTACCTTCAGGATGAGAACGGCATCGGCTACATACTGAGCGGGGCTGGTAACTTCATGGACCCCTCGAAGAGGCACTTTCGCAAGGTTCCCAGCGGCTACCTGCGCTTCCACTACGGGGCGGAGGACTCCCTGGGCGGCTTCACCTACGTGGAGATCAGCCCCAAAGAGATGAGCATCACCTACATCGAGGCCTCGGGCAAGTCCCTCTTCAAGACCAAACTGCCCAGGCAAGACCGGCCCGAGCACTTGTGAGGGGCCGGAGGCAGAGAGACCTCCCTGCCAGGGGGGTGGCGGGCCCCCCTGGACCCCCGCCCCTGGGCAGGACTTCTCAGGGGCCTGTGGTTCTGCTGAGCGGGAACCACACTCTTAAACCTGACATCCTTCCGTCACTGCCAAATATTCAATAAAAGAATAGACGTGCCCTGGCCGGTGTGGCTCAGTTGGTTGAGCGTCGTCCTACGCACCAAAAGGTCGCCAGCTCCGTTCCTGGTTAGGGCCCATGCCGGGGGTTGCCTGTCCCGGTGGGGGAGCATGCAGGAGGCAGCCGATGAGTGTTTATCTCTCATCAATGTTTTCCTCTCTCTCACTTCCTTCCCCCCACTCCCTTCCTCTCTCTTCCTCTTTCTCTAAAAAAAAAAAAAAAAAAATTGTTACCAATAAAAACATTAAAAAAAAAAGATGCAAGACTGCAAATGTCCCTTTCCTGACCCTGGCAAGTTGCATCACCTGGGTTC